TAAGAGTGAGGACGAAGGTCTCATATTCCTCGTCAGGCAAGGAACTCAATAACAACAATGCCTTGTCCTCGTCTTCAACCTTGACATCTACATTCGCCAAATCTGCAAGTAGCTTCGTGTAGTGGTTCATGTGATCACTAATGGATGTCCCCTTCTTCAATTGGAAGCGATAAAGCCTCCTCTTCAAATGCAAACGATTTTCGATGCTCTTCGTCAAATATTTGCCCTCTAGGACCTCCCAAATCTTCTTTGCCGAAGTTTCATTCATCACATCATATTTAAGGTCTTGGGTAAGGCAAGACCTAATCACACCACACGCCGTTCTATTCATTTTATTCCAAACCTTTTCATCAATGTCGGCCGGTTTCCCGTCCAACTCCAATGTATCTTCCAAATTTTGCGCATTTAGCGCATCCATGACTTCGCATCGCCAAAGTCCAAAATTATTTGTGCCGTTGAACTTTTCCACATCTATTTTCATAGAATGTATATTCAAACTTTGGACGGCCTTCACACCAGAAGAACCCTCCCCACTTTTATCTTTTTCAGCCATATATCTCAAAGCACCACCAAACCAATGCGGAAACAAACGAGAAATAGATCCAAATTGAAAAAGACGAGATTTTTACTGAAAAGATCCCACCTTTATCACCAAACGAAGCCCTAGATGAACTTCCAAAGCGATCTACTCCTCCAAAATAGCCCAAGCGTAGCCCGGAGCTCTGATACCAATTGTTGTGCCTCGAGAAAACAAACCAATCGCCGAAAAAGATAAAGAACCAACCAAATCAATAGCACAAACAACCAAACACCAATTTTATGTGGTTCGACAAGATGCCTACGTCCACGGGGCAAGGAGGGGGGAGTTTTCACTATTAGAAATCAAGAGGAACAAACTAGGGTTACAAATCTCTCATAAACCCTCAACAATCAACTCTCAATCTCTCCAATTGCTCCTAGAATAGAAGCCCAAAGAAAACTCTCTCAATCTGCTCAAATTCGTCCTTGCTCTTAACCCTAAAAAACACCCAAAGGGTATTTATACAAATCCAAAACGAAACGGGTCTGAAAACAGACCCAACTCAAAACCGCAGCGGCGGTCGACCGGTACGGTCGACCGCGATCCATCGCGGTCGACCGGACCGGTCGACTGCCCTCCATCCAGCAGCAAACCCAATGTCCAGAGAGGTCGTCGGTCGACCGACACGGTCGACCGCCCATAGATTCGGTCGACCGGATCGGTCGACCGCCACCAATCCTGAAGCCCAATAACTCCTGTGCACGAATGCGGTCGACCGGGCCGGTCGACCGCCACCCAATTCTGCTGAAACCCGAACTTTCTGCCAATTCTACAAATCTCCACCTCGGCGAAGATTCTACCAAACTGAGCCGACACCGATCAAACCAATACCTCAACTGTTGCACCCAGTATGCCATGGCAACGGACTCATGACAACGGACTCCAATCACAACACGTCGAGATCCAAAACGGGAGTGTGAACACTCAACCCCAAACCAACTGTGTCTACTCACCAAACAACTGAGCCTACACCGACTACACCAAATGCCTCACTTGCTGAGACCCAAATGGGAGTGCGAACACTCTCCCCAAATGTCGATGTCGCTCACCAAATCGGCTGCATCATAAAGACTGCCTACGTATCCTCTTGCCCAAGGAATCAAGCCTTCACGTAGTTCACCATATGGGCCTCCAAAGGCCCTCAATCCAACCTGCGGCTGATAGCATCATCAACGACCTCAAACTGAAGCGATCCAAACACCTCCACCTGAGATGTAACAATGGCCGTATCCAAAACATATCCATCAGCTGCATCCAAATCAACTACCTCATCATCTGCACCCATAAATAAATGACTCCCACGCTGTGCCACCTCAGCTGGAATCCCAACCAATGCAGAATGACCTGGAGTATGTGGGAAAATCCCCACCCAATGTGGAGTAGCATCAACCTCCACCCGCTGCGATATCCCTCTGACCTGATCAATACTCTCCACCTGCCGAGAGTCCAAAGTGACAAACCTGCTCAGACTAAACTCAGAAGCTCCCAACTGATAACCAAATGAACTCCTGAATCTCAACTGCGCAATCGGATCCAACCTCACATCAACGATGTGACCAAGTGCTGGGTAGCCAAATATCCGACGCCGACCAAAATCTGAAACAGCTCCACCAGATCTAACAACTCTACACGCAGCAGTCGGCAACCACATAAGATGACCCAAACCTGTCGAAGCCTGAATACCAGATCCACTGCTCGACAACCAATACCGATCCTCCTCCAGAAAGGAACGGCTCACTAAATCCGCCATCTCATCACGTCGCCCCACTGTCTCCTTCCCTCTGAAGTGTCTCCAACTGCCGTGAGCTCGGCACCAATGCAAGAAAGGACTCCTACTAGAATAAGTACGACTGGTAACCTTTCTGCCCATACACCTCCTCCAACTGTTGCGGACTACTAGGTCTTTATACCAACGGGACTTGGTTGCAACCCAAATATGCCTAGTACAATCCCCAACATAGGAAACAAAATAACGATTACCTCCCGATGATGCCTCCTCGGAAAGCCCCCAAATGCCTGACTGAACACCTCCAATAAGACCTCTCGATCGATGGATAGAAGTGCTGAACTCCACCTCGGTCTTCTTGCTCATACCAATGTGTTCACAGGGCTTCAATCTGCAGGTCATAGCACTCCTCAACAATCTGTGCACGGTATAACCAACAATATATCCCAGCACCAAACAATGCCACAGTCTAGCCATAGAAGTAGTCAGCGCCCTATCAACTACCGTGCTCCCAAGCAGATAATACAAGTTACTCCGTCTGACTCCCTTCATCACAATCATGGACCCCGATGTGACCTTCAAGCGAGAATCCGCCAAGATCACCCTATAGCCTGATGCCTCCAATACCCCAAGTGAAATGATGTTCTTCCTCAGTTGAGGAACGAACCTCACATCAGCCAACTCCCGGATCATCCCGTCACTCATCCGAATCCGAACGGTACCAATACCACCAATAGGGCATCTGTGATCATTACCCATGAGAACAGCATCCCCTCTTTCCAACTCCTGAAAGCTGGAGAACCAATCCCTTCTAGGGCATATGTGGTAAGTAGCACCAGAATCCAACATCCACTCGGTGGAGTCGGCAACATCAACTGACGGAAGAGCTGGGCACGAATAGCCCGAAGAATCTGAATCTGAATCTGAAACATCGCCACTAGCCTTGGCAATATTCACCTCTGAAGCTTGAATAGCTTTCCCTTTATTCTTCACAGCTTGCAATTTTGGGCATTCGGCTTTCCAATGTCCATCCTCTCTACAAAAGGCACACTGATTCCTACCAACTGCAGGATGCCCCACTCTAGACTGCGACCTTCTTCCACGGTTTGGACTTCTAGCTCTTGCAACCAATGCACCAGCAACCGGCTCGATGGAAGTCTCCTTGTCCTTCTTTCGAAGTTGATAATTCACAAGGGCTGCGGTGACCTCACTATACGAAAGTGATGCCTTTCCATTAATAAGAGTGAGGACGAAGGTCTCATATTCCTCGTCGGGCAAGGAACTCAATAACAACAATGCCTTGTCCTCGTCTTCAACAATAACATCTACATTCGCCAAATCTGCAAGTAGCTTCGTGTAGTGGTTCATGTGATCACTAATGGATGTCCCCTTCTTCAATTGGAAGCGATAAAGCCTCCTCTTCAAATGCAAGCGATTTTTGACGCTTTTCTTCATTCATCACATCATATTTAAGGTCTTGGGTAAGGCAAGACCTAATCACACCACACGCCGTTCTATTCATCTTATTCCAAACCTTTTCATCAACGTCGGCCGGTTTTCCGTCCAACTCCAATGTATCTTCCAAATTTTGCGCATTTAGCGCATCCATGACTTCGCATCGCCAAAGTCCAAAATTATTTGTGCCGTTGAACTTTTCCACATCTATTTTCATAGAATGTATATTCAAACTTTGGACGGCCTTCACACCAGAAGAACCCTCCCCACTTTTATCTTTTTCAGCCATATATCTCAAAGCACCACCAAACCAATGCGGAAACAAACGAGAAATAGATCCAAATTGAAAAAGACGAGATTTTTACTGAAAAGATCCCACCTTTATCACCAAACGAAGCCCTAGATGAACTTCTAAAGCGATCTACTCCTCCAAAATAGCCCAAGCGTAGCCCGGAGCTCTGATACCAATTGTTGTGCCTTGAGAAACCAAAACAATCGCCGAGAAAGATAAAGAACCAACCAAAATCAATAGCACAAACAATCAAACACCAGTTTTACGTGGTTCGGCAAGATGCCTACGTCCACGGGGCAAAGAAGGGGGGGTTTTCACTATTAGAAATCAAGAGGAACAAACTAGGGTTATAAATCTCTCATAAACCCTCAACAATCAACTCTCAATCTCTCCAATTGCTCCTAGAATAGAAGCCCAAAGAAAACTCTCTCAATCTGCTCAAATTCGTCCTTGCTCTTAACCCTAAAAAACACCCAAAGGGTATTTATACAAATCCAAAACAAAGCGGGTCAGAAAACAGGCCCAACTCAAAACCGCAGCGGCGGGGGCCCCGGCCGTCGACCGGGTCGGTCGACCGCCCTCCATCCAGCAGCAAGCCCAAATGTCCAGAGAGTACGGCGGTCGACCGCGCCGGTCGACCGCTACCATCTTCGGTCGACCGCGTCGGTCGACCGCCACCAATCCTGATGCCCACTGAGTCTTGTGCACGAATGCGGTCGACCGGGCCGGTCGACCGCCACCCAATCTGCTGCCCAGTAAGCCTGTTCCTGTCATTTCTACAGTAACAACTCTCTCACCCTTCCTCAAACCATACCTCCCCCTCTCTCACCTCCTATCTCCTTCATCCCTTTGTCTTCTTCTTCGTTTCTGCCCGCATTCTGCTTTCGTTCATTTTCCCACTTTGCTTCCCTTCATGTCCCACTGCCGCCCGACAAAGAGGAGGAGAAATGGTGGTCGCAAGTTGGGATGAAATCATAGGGGGATCAATGCGTGTTCATGGGTTCATGAGAACAATAAAAGAGGAAAAGAAGAATGAAAAGAGAATGTACCTTGAGAAATTCTATTAAGTTCAAATGAGAACTGAAAAGGAAGCATTGTTGGTTTCTTATATATATAAACCAGTAGTAAAAGGACCTTTGTCTTATATTTAGTGCTTGAAAATTGAGATTATGCATGCATTTCAATATTTCAGTTGTTATTTTCACCACCATCAAAATATAAGACCTTGATCTATTTTTTATTTTTTTATTTTGCAGGAGAGTTTCATCTGGATCTAATAGTATCATACGGGGCCGTCCCGGTGATTGTCCCCCGTGTCGCCGGGGTCCACATGCTCCTCGACAGTTTTGAGCCAATCCACGCTTCGAGCCAATCCACGGCGTCCTTCTCTGCGAGGGAGAGGACATCGACCCCTCCCTCTATGATGCAGATATCTCCGGCCTCACACCCCAAGAACACGAAGACATCTGCCGCCTCCACACCAGTGACACCGCCATAGACCGCGAGAAGGACTCCATCGAGCTTCGCCTCGCAAGGCTCTGCGTCGACCGCAACATCCCCTACCTCGGCATCTGCCGTGGGTCCCAGGTCCTCAACGTGGTGTCCGGAGGCACACTCTATCAGGACATAGAAAAGCAGATTGCGAAGAAAGGAAGCCATACGAAAGTATCTCACATCAATTATGATAACTACGACGGACATCGGCACAATGTGAGAGTGGTCCATGAAACTCCGTTGAGTAGCTGGTTCGGGGAATCATTGGACGAGAGGATGGAGATGGAGGTGAACAGTTATCATCACCAGGGAGTGAAGAGACTGGCAGCGAGATTCGTTCCTATGGCGTATTCTGATGATGGATTGATAGAGGGGTTTTATGATCCTGAATGCTATGATCCTGAGGAGGGTAAATTCATAGTAGGATTACAGTTTCATCCGGAGAGAATGAGGCGGCCAGAGTCTGATGATTTTGATTATCCCGGGTGCCCGTTGCCTTATCAGGAATTTGTACAGGCAGTAAAAGCTTATCAGAAGAAGGTTAATAACCCCCCAGACATAAAAATTGCTCGAAAGCTCGATCAGGAACTAGAGAAGAAAAGAAAGATAATACTGCAGAGTTTTTCTCTCGCAAAGAAGCTAC